CGGGCTTTATGTTTGGCATCGGACACACGTTCGGCCCATTCATTGAGAAACCCTACCTCACGGGTGACCAGTTTGCAGGGCTCACCCAAGACAACCGGAACGCGCTGTTGGCCAAAAACATATCGGTTCGTAAGGCCGACATCGCCGGTATTGATGACACCGATGTCCGCCGACATAAGCTTATGATACCGTACTTGATATGCGGCTCAATTCATATTCTGGGTAAATAAAAAATTAACTAGTTAGTAAAAAGTAATTAGTTATTAAAAATTAACTAGTTATTAATATTATTTACTTAATTCTAAAAGCAAATAAAATAATCGTGAATTTAAATTACAGGTCCAATACTACTGGCCATAGTGTTTAAGGCCCGGCGCACAACACTGGACGCAAAGCTCAATAGCGTGACCAGCAGTGATACAAATGTGATACTAAATAATAACAACAATAACGCACCGGGAAACGGCAAGACAAAGCTACTAGAGAACATGCCGGAGCAAAAATTGACCATGATCCTATTGGTGTCGGTGATGTTGGCCTTTTTCAGCGCCAGCGAGAGTATATTCTTCGCGTTCAGCGCCACATACTTCCAGTACATACCGTTGCGGCTGTCGGCCAGTAGTGCCGCCCAATTGGTCTCAATAATGGCGCTCACGTTCACCATAAGCCGAGGTGTTGCCATCCTATTGGCTATGCGCACATCGCCCGAGAACATTATCGCGTCATTCCTGGTCATACTACTAGTCTCGATGGTCACCCTATATTTCTCGACAAACTCGCTGCCTATGCTGTGGTTCAGCATAATGTTAATGAGCTTTGGTTTCAGCCCGATATACGCCTCCATATTCTCGTTTATGGGCCGATACCTCGAGTTTACTAACCGTTTGGGCACGGTGCTTTTGCTCAGCGCCAATAGTTTGAACCTGGTGCTGCCCGGCCTGCTGGGCACCTACATCGAAGTGATGCCAAATATATTTCTCACCACCTTGATCGTCTGTACAACTTTTAGTATAGTTTTATATTTATTTATTAATTATTTTATACTTAAATTTCGCAATCAATTGCCAAATAATATTGATTTACATAAAAGCGATGATAAGTCTTATGAGAATATTTAGATAAAGTGTATATAACTTTTTTAATTAATTTTATAATTGTTTTAAATATTAAATTTTATGTTTGGTTTTAACAAAAACCAAGTTTTAAAAAATTATTAAATTTGTGAAATGTTTAATTTAAGGCATTTTATTAATTAAAGTGTTTTATACGAAACGAATGTTCCTTTCATTCGATTCTCAAACATAAAAATCGGGTTTAATTGTTAATTCCTTTGCAAACACTAGTCTCGCATTGTTTGAAAATTACAACAATCAAAATATTTTATCACTTTTTATTCTGCCGTCTACTGATTAGTTATAATTATACTGATTATTGCCATCGTTAACATTTTGTAATATGGCGATGAGTAATGTAACCATTATTTATTATAAATTTTATATTGCATATTAATACATGTATAAATTATAAATGTAAATTTTTAACAGTTTAAATGATTTGTCTTTTAAATTATGAAACAAAATGCTAACAAATATAAGTAAAATGTCAAAGGAAGGTAATTATAAACTACAATTCATCGAAATCGCTACTGTAGGTGCCGGTGGTTTTGGGAGAGTATTTAAAGTACAGAATATAACTGATCATAAAACATATGCCATTAAAAGGGTATTATTTAGAGGTAAACTTATTAACTATTATTTATAATTAAATTTTTAATGATTTTAATTTTAAATATTATAGATTTTAGCCAAGAAAAGAAACACAAAATTATGAATGAAGTGAAATGTTTGGCAAAATTGATTTCAAATTTTGTGGTTAGATATTACGACTCGTGGACCGAAGACATACATCTGTACATTCAGATGGAGTACTGCCCGCAAACACTCGCGTCTGTACTTAAAAACAAACACCAAGTGTTTGGCAGACAATCGGCGGAACCCATGAATATCTTCGAGTATTTTATATCCTGTGAAATACTTTGGGAACTTTTGCGATGCCTTAAGTTTATACACGAGTTTTTACCACCAATTATTCATCGGGATATAAAACCCGATAATATATTGATTTCAATGAACAATACACATATCAAACTAGGTGACTTTGGTTTGGCCACCGAACACGAACGGCTATCCAAGAGCCACACACAGAACATCGGGACAGTGAACTATATGGCACCGGAAATGGGGTTTTTACCTACATATGGCTGTAAAGTTGATGTTTATAGCATGGGAATCATTGTGGCACAAATATTTGAAATGTAATTATTTAAACATACATACCGTACTATTACGTTTACTTATTAATTAAAATTAATAATTTTTAATTTAAATTTTAATTTTGATTTAAAATTAATATGTGTTTTATTTTTAGCTACTCTTACCCAACATATGATTTAACCACGTTTTCGGCCAATTTTAACAAATTAAATGATATTTATTGGTCAATGGTTGAATCTATGGATACTAAACGACCGACAAGTTTTCAAATACTGAATGATTATGACAAATGGTCAATCAATAAATCTCTTATCACTAATCATATGGATTTTAATGCAATACAAAATATTCTTAAATCTAACGAAAATATTTTTTTCTACGAGTTTTTAATGTGTAAAACACAATAAAACTCGTAATTAATTGTCTAAATATTTTCTATTTGTTGATGAAGTTAAGTCATGCAGTACCATGATGGCTAAAATTATTTTCAATAATATAATTAAAAAATAATAAGTTTCTTATTAAAAACAATAAACGAATAATAAAACTTTACTTTTTACAGTAGCATACTTAGGGGAAAAATTTGGGGCGCAAATTGCCAAACCTATTGTTATTGGTATGAAAATGTGCAGAATTGTCAACAGATCTTTAATCAATCGTCAAAATCGGCAAATGGCCAGAGACGTTCGAGTAGTGGCCAATTTTTAAATCGCGCCTATGGCTTATAGTATTGCATTCATGTGATCAGCCATTCATTATGTTAAGAATTTTTTACCACTATTCTGATATGAATAATGTGGTTTATAGGATCGTTCTGGTTCAAGACAATCACGGCCAATTTGATCAGGACGTGCCAATTGTCCCCAGATATTACAGCCCATGCCATATATGTTGCGTTCATTCACTGCTAAC